AGAAGAAGAAAATAACGATCATTCTAAAATGCCTGTTTAAACGCTCTTCCCGATTATAAAATTCGATGCAACCAAGACTCATTGTCATATTTTACATTTATTTTAAGTTTTTATTTATTCATTTATTGCTTATATGGCCAATTTTGACTAACATTCTTTTGTTTTAAGCTTCACTGTCACAAACCTTTTAATGTTCTTCAATTAATGGAGACGATATTAAATTTACAAGTTCAAACATTTCATGTTCAAATTATGTTTAGAGCAGTTGTTTTCTAGATTTTATGTTGTCACTGTAAAATCCTTTGAGTATGACCTCACCGCGAAATATTAACTATTCATTTAAAAATAAATTAATTTATCCAAAAATGGAAAATTAAACTTTTACGCTGATTTCAGGGTTATTGGTTAACGTTGAAAATATGTAGAACACACTGGCATGTCGCTTTAATTTACTTCATAAGCGTGTTAAAGTATTAAAACTCTCTGCCGTTAATATAAAGCTACTGAATATGCCCTGAATACCTACAAGATTAAATTTAGGCTAACGAAGTGCAAAGAAATATTACTTGCCAATTAAAACTCACGTGTCAACTAAATGCCTACATTTAAAATCATTTTGTACTAACGAGTGTTCCAGATGCTTTGAGTGAATTTGAGAAATCTTCCGTTATACCAAGCCGAAAGATGCGTTTGTAAAATTTACTCTAGACTTTGAGAAAAGGGAAAATCCCTCCTCTTTGTGAGCTGTATAGTTGTGATTTATTTTTTGTTCCTTCGATGCAAAATCCACAATTAAAAAAAAAAAAACGAATTTTATTTAATTACATAAAAATTAAATTACAATTTTACATGAAATTTTTGTCATCTATACGAGTTGTAGCATTTTTCTCAGGTATCTCTAATTGATAGCTGTACAAAAAATATGAATGTACTCTCTTAACTGGCACATAGAGCATGCAAATTCCCCTGCACACAAAAATTCAATTGCTCTCATTAAGGACTCGATTCAAAGGGCTTTTACTTGTAAACTCGATGACTCTCGTATATGTCCTTAATAATCTCTAAAGCAGGCGCATAACTACTAAAATGCCGAAATTCACCAATTAAATCAAGAATTTCAGACCTCTGGGACTCGCTGCCTCATAATCAATAGAAGCGCAGTTCATTTCAAAGACCGTACGTAGGAATTTATGCTTTCGCTTTCAGTGAGGAATCTTACAGACTGGAATGCGAGAATTTGCATGGTCTATGTCGACTAGGCGCTTATTTTCTGCAAAACTGGATATTGTTTCTTGCTGGATATTTTGCGAAACAATCGTTCCTTGCAAGAAACCTTTAATTACAAACTGTTAGACGCAGCTTTTTAAATCGAATTAAACTATTATATACAATAAGTTGTACCTTTAAAAAAATCTGCTATAATGCATTGTTAAATAGTTTATAAAATTAAACGTATAATTGATCCATGAAACATTGGGTTCTTACTAGGGTGGGCTTTCAGGAGGATTTTTATTTCAGTAAAAGTACTGGAAATTTTTAGAGGTTCATAGCAGCTCGGAAAAACTAGCAAACAACACCAAATACACTATAAAGTATAAAAAACTCAAGAAAATCATGTATGTCATGAATGCATAAAGTGTAGATTTAAGTCTTAGTTTGAAATTCATTACCGTAACATAAACAAAAATCTGTTAAATGTTAACATTTGCTGAGCATCTTTCAAACATTTGCTGACATAAATGTAAATCAATGAGAAAATAAATCACATCTCCATAAAATATCGTAGCACCTATACTACTGGCCGAAATTGTGGAAGTGTTTTAGAATATATGTATGTTTTTGAAGTCTGAACACGTATAACTTCATTTTTTAGGGAAAATTCTGTGAAGTTTTCTATGATTGGAAAGATAATATTATACAACATTTAAGGTAACTTATCACGATAATTCATATTTATTATATAAAATGTTATACCTAAATAAACAAAGGAATAAAACAAAACCGTCTTACATTAAGAGACTGCTTTTCTTGAACTCAAAATTTTAAGTGCTTTTCACTGTTATTTAAATAATCTGTATAATTTACTTTAGGTTGACAAGCATATTAAAAAAAATCGAGTAGTTACGTAGAAAGAGACGCGAAACAATATCTTTACGAGAAAAATGGGATAACTGTGAAAAAAATCATGAGAACAATAGGTGGAAGCATAACTAAAACAAAATTGTAAAGTTAGGAAAATCCACAACAGCATGCAGGATAGACGAATTAAAAATTGCATTATGCGTCACGAAAATGAAATTATCTAAGGCAATTTAAACGTATTTATATGCATTTGTTTAAACTTAAATGTCAGGTTAGTATGACCAGAATGTTTAATTTAAACGACAGAATACCAGAGTAAATGATTTCTTATCTCTGAAAACATGCAGCCTGCAAATTGACGAATAATACTTTGATTCTTGTTGCCTTAACACTTCCAAAAATTATTATTCAGCGTGTTATTTTAACTCAGATAAGGAAAATATTGGAATGAGATAAAAGCACATTAATTGGTCATCGTACGGATGAAAAAGTGCTGGATTGAAGAAACCAGAATATTCCTGTTTGAGAGTGACGGAATGACGTGTCAGAAAAAGATTTTGAAAAAGTTTACTGTGAAGCATCTATAAATGGTATTACAAGTCGCCATATACGACAACAAAAAGTAGGCATGAAGCTGTGAGATTAATAACGTTTCAAATAGCAAGAGGTGCCCCAATGCTATATTAGAAATAAAGCTGATATCATCAGTTCAAGATGTTTTCCGAGGTAGACTTTCATATTTCAGCAGGACGCTGTACCGTTTCATATTTCTGTTCAGCACAAAAAGTGATCTTAGGAAAAGAATACTGTCTTGCTAGAATACTGCGTTGCCTAGATCTAATCCTAATTGAAAACCTCTGGAGCCGTGTAACAAAGCTTGCTACTCAGAAGCAAACATGGAATAAAATACAAAGAAAAAAAGCAATTATATAATTGTGGTATCATATTTTATAGCGCTTGATAAACTAAAATAATTGGCTTATGGATTCCACAAAATGTCGTAGTTAAACTGTAATTTCAGCAAAATGTTTCACGAAAAAGTACTAATCGAATTCATAAAAAATTAAATTTCATTAAATTCAAGACTTCGAATTTCGATCTTTCTACAAACAGCAATTTATTGGACTGGATTACTTGAATTATGCCAAAACATGCGTGGGCTATCCGCCCCCTATGGAGGGGACTTTTACGGATGACTTTTTACGGAAAATTGCCCCATATCCACGCTACACATGGTGAAAATCACGAAAACTCCCACACATCTAGACCATTTGCTAGTACTCGACCTGAACGCCAGTGTTAGCGATTTTACCACTCGATCGATGTTGGTTCCAAACGGTAATTTAACCAATGCTTCAGTGCTTCAAAATTTATGCCCCCCCATTTTTTTTACAGTAAAATACATTCACTCTTTTGCAAAGAAAAACGAAGCACCCTTAAAAATAATCCGACCATCTCGAAATTTTCTATGTAAATTCTGTCATACCAAGTATGCAAATGATTAAATTTTCAACCGATAATGCCGTTACGATGTTGTCGAAGATGTGGACGACTTCGAACAGGGTTGCATAGTAAAGATGCGGGAAGCAGGTTGGTCGTACCGGACAAAAAAGGCCGCCACCTGCACCGTATGAACACGGCTGTGCAAAGATGCTGGCAAAAGTGGTCATTTGGCGGATTCAAGGCTGTGGGGGAAGGTGGAGGTACAAAAATTCGAAGCAAGATCGGATGACTAAGCGAGAGACCCGAACTGTCTCAACTGCGTCGTTGTTCGCTATCCAACGTGCTACAATCTCTTTCATATCACCCATGGCACCTTTCACCATCTCACGGCGCTTGGCTGAGGCAGGAGTGCTCTCACAGCTGCCTTTAAGACGTCTGCCTGCAACCTCACAACACCGACAGAGTCATCTGGAGCAGCGTTGCAGCGGATTGCCATCTCATAATAGTCAGCGGTAGATTCAACATTTCATTGCATCCCATCCAGATGCCATTTTCCAACATGATAATACTAGAACCCACACGGCTGGCATATCTCTGGAGTGTCTCCGAGCTGTTGATACTCGTCCTTGGCCAGTAGGTTCACTAGACCTTTCGCCAATCGGACGTGTATGGGATATGATAGACCGCCATATTCGGGCACCCCAAAATATCGCAGATCTGGAGCAGTAATCGAGGAATGCTTGGCAGAATGCATAGCAGGATGAGATTAGAAACTTTATCATTTCTTGCCTTAATTTTTGTAAGCAATCATCGCCACCGGGGGGGTTTCAGTTGTGCAATAGCTAGCCACTGATGGGTCCTATGGTAAGCATGTATAATTTCAATAAAAACGGTCACTTTCGTAATAGTACTTCCCTCCCCCAAAGAGTTTATTTTAGAAATTCGAATTGGAAAACATAACTTGGGTAACTCAGCAATATTTTTATGGGCTCACTGAAAATTTGAGTTAATTACGCAAATAAAACTGATAGTTTGAGGGTTTTTTTTTTTCCTTTGAGAAGGTTTAACATTGAAAATATTTTTATTCACATTTCATTAGGCAGCTTTATACACGTTATTCACTAGGCAGCAGTCATCTCTGTCACACGAGATGGACGTCAGCTTCTGTATTAGGGATATTTCATTCAGCATATTTTCAGCACAAAATTATTTTACATTCCCTGAAATTTAGAAGAATGTTGATTTTCTGTCCTTCAGTTCGACAAATTATTCCTTTCATAACAGAAAAAAACATTTTCCCTATATATATATATAGAGAGAGAGAGAGAGAGAGAGAAATACTTTTAATTACTTTATTTTGAATATATATATTTATATTCCAGTTTCAAATTACATTATAATGCATAATCTATCTTTTCATTAGAATTGTAACAATAATCTAACGGATCTTAATGTTGCATTTGCTTTATTTTCAGGTTTTGAAGTAAAAGACATCTTTTATTAAGGTAAGAGTTTATTATGTGTTTCTGTTAAAAAAATTTTGATAATTAGTGAAACTGAACTAGACATGAAGAAATAAGTTATGAAGTATATAAAATAATTATTCAAAATCTTGAATTTTGGATTGCTTTTATTTATTTATTTATTTTTTTAATTTGGCGGCTTTTTCTAACTTGGTGATGAAGTTTTACTTTTACTCTTTAGAATTTGATTATTAAACATAAAATTAGTAAACCATTTTATTTTTATAAATTTTTTAAAACCGAAATTTCACACAAAAATTGGACTTGCTATAATATGTTTTAGAAGAAAAGATGATTTATTTTTAAATCCTTTTCTCATGTGCTGAACTTTGGTAATTTGAATCCTAGGGAACGGCTTGGCTGCGTGGGCGTTTTCATGGCTCTCTCTCTCAAACCATTTTATTTTTATAAATTTTTTAAAACCGAAATTTCACACAAAAATTGGACTTGCTATAATATGTTTTAGAAGAAAAGATGATTTATTTTTAAATCCTTTTCTCATGTGCTGAACTTTGGTAATTTGAATCCTAGGGAACGGCTTGGCTGCGTGGGCGTTTTCATGGCTCTCTCTCTCAAGCCAGTTTTCCTTAGAAAATCTTCACCAAAGCATCTCTTTCCTTAGAGCGATAGCTCTCGTGAACTTTGCCGTAATCGCTTAAAATAATGAGAGATAATTAAACTCAAGTAAACACTTAAAGGGATATTCTAAACTGCTGCAGATTTTATATGTATCCACCGGAACTCGAACATGACGTTGGTCGAATGGAAAATTACAGCTATATCTCGGTTTGGCATTTTTAGAACTAGTGAAGGCATTTTTACAAGTAGTAGCTTTTCAAGCATGAAAAGACTTGAAAAGTTTAATCTTTTGCATTTATTATATCTTTTATAAGTAAATGTCATCTGTGTAAAGTGAATGTCTTCTTTATACTCTGTAAAGTGACTTCCTTAATAGTTTAATTATTTACTTCTCAAGAGTTGTTAAATGGACAAATCAGAGATGATCTGAGTGAGATATCGCGAATGACATTACGCGAGTCAACTGATTTATTTTCCAGAAGTTATTTATCCCTCCCCAAGGTCTGCATTCCAGTTACTCTTAAAAGGATTCTGCATATAATAGAATTAGAGATTCCTGGGTGGTTGCGGTTTCCATAGATCACCCCTTGGTGCGGAGTTCAAAAACAGGTTAGGAATTCATATACCAAACTGTGAATATCAAGCAAAACTTCAACTCTTCTCTTTCAGATTGTTAATTCACTTTGGGAGGATGGAGAAATTTAATCTATTTTAAAAAATTCTTCTGAATGTACTGAATACTAAGGTTATGTCTATGCGAAATCTAATTTAAGAATATCTATAGATGTATTCTAGATTTTTCTTGTGAAAACACTTTTGTTTTTCACATTCTTAATTCAAAGAAAGTATGAGTCTACCAGAGTCAAATGGAGAAGACCGCTGAAGTTTATTAGCTTGGTCTGGTTTCGTTTCCCGGCGAATTGGCCTCTCTACACAGTCTTTGTTTGGTTTCATCACGTGTGACAAACTCTTACCCTAAAGTATCCCTTCTTTCTACAGATAGTACTCGCATCGTTTCCCAGTCAGTTAAACAACAAGAAAATATTACTTCTGGTGAATACACCTTCATTTCGCTTTCAGTTTCTATTGTATCGGCTGCAACTTAATTATCAAAACTTAAAAAAAAGCTCATACATGTGTTGCATCACAATAGCAGACACTCTAAAATATCAACAAAAAATGGGAAACTGGGTCTTGAACTGCTTGAAAAAAAAATTGACTGTGGGAAACTACAAAATTTCTCTACTTGATAGATAAAAACAGACTGTTATGTTATGGACAGAAAATAAAATTTTAGACTTTCATAGGGGTTTAGCTTGTAAGGTTAATCAAATAGAAAAGCTAGTTCTGCCCTTTTTTATATATCTTCTGCATTCAGAACAATCCTTCGATATAGGTTATTTATTATAACGACTTATAAAGAAAAGGACAGGTAAACGCAAAAGCATACTAAATTTTTGTTTATTTAGTTATTTTTAAAATTTCTAATGACGGATTACAGAGACAACTGTAGCTAGAACTAGCCAAGATAAAAGAGAACAGCGAAACTAAAAAAGAGTCTATAGTATAATCTATAAATTAATTTTGTGTCTCGCCTCCCAATATCTCTCCGGCATTAAGTGCGGGGCAACGACTCAGATGTGAGGCATCCATTTCCTCATGTAGGTTACACAGTTTACAAACTGGAGCATGAACATTATCTCAACACAATGCATACTGATGTAGTGCACTTGTTATGGAACATATACTAAAGGTTAATTAGGTTTTTTTTCCACCGTTTAAGCTGAATCCTGAATTAAGTTTGTTGAATTCTAAACCTCAGCAAGGGAAGTCAAGCTTCATTAAATTAGGAAAAAGGTATTATTGAGTTTGGAGGTAAACTGTAGTTCTGACTGTATCCTTTCTGGGTTCATTTTAGGTTTAGGTTTCAAAATTCAGTTTGAAAGATGTTAAAGATGATATTTCGCTAGAGACTAATTAAATCTGGCTATATTCTTAAGGCTAAGGGAAGAACAGTTAAAAGCAGATCTTGCATTGAGATATGACAAGTGTTCGAGATACCTATAATAATGATAGCTTTGTTAATAATTATAAAAATGACTATAAATTATTGTGAAAGTTTAAAAATTGTGTTTTTGCATTTGCATCTTACTTAAAACAAGCAAACTGCAGTCGTATTAGATATTTTTGTGCTACAGTAAGTTTGAAATAAGTAATGCTTTAAGTTTGCAGTTGTTATTTAAGAAATTGTTTCAAAATTACTCTTAAACTTTGAATAACTTTAAAAACGTCAAATGCTCTTTTTCTTATTTTGCTCATCATCGACCGAGCGATAAAACTTTTGAAGACTGGTACTCATCGAACAGACTGGCTGCGTGGAAGTTTTCATAGTTCTCCGCATGCGGAACTTAAATACGAACCAGTTTCCCATAAAAAGCCCTCCACGGAAGCTTTCCTTCTCTCATAAGGTAGCTTTGCAAGTGCCATAATGTAATCTAAAGAATCCTAATCGTGTTTCTTATTTTAGCAGAATGTGAAAATACTGGTATCATTTACAGAAAACTGTATCCAAAAATTGTATTCTCTATGAAAAAATGTTAACTTACATGATTTCTGGTTTATATTCAAAAGCTGCTATAGATTGGCTTATATATAGGATTTTATTTCTAGCGGAAAGGGGGAGGAGAGACAATGGAAAGATTCCTCGGTTACGTTTGGGCAAATTAATCAAATTTTTCATCATTAATATGTTCATTTCAAAGAAAAGATACTAAGCGGACATTAAAAGAAGTATGTTTAATCAAGGTTTACATGTTTTATTCAACCATCTAAAACTAGAATTAATTTTTGCGGTAAGAGTAGAAAAAGATGGAGCAGCCAATATATCAAAAATGATATAAGTATTCGGAAAATAAATCCTGCCTTATGCCGAACTAGCATCAGCTGCAAGTCTTTTATGATACATTTTCATGAATTACTTTTCCTTTTCATAATGAATATTCGCTCTGAATGACCACGTTATAAAACAATCATTTTCATCAAGCATTACATATGGGCTCCTAAGATTTAAAAAAAACGTCATGTTACCGAATTCTGAAATAATGCTTTAGGTGGCATATATTTTTTTTAATAATTCATACTAGTAATTAAAATTTCTTATTTTCTTCAACTTTTCTGAAATTTCGTGTGCTCTTTAATATATTTATAGCCATTTACTCTTCAGAGGGGAGCTTGGCTCCACATATCCAGGCAGTGTTATTCCTAGGATAATTAATTAAAATCAAATGTAGTTCAGCATGAAAATTAAGTCCATTGACATGTCAATTGACATTTCAATTGTATAGCAGTGCGGGTTAAAGCAGTAGCTCACATTAAATATAAAATGCAATTTTTCTAAATGAGTTAGGCACAGGAAATTTGTTTCTACAGTTGTTAAAACTCTTTAATATTATTTTAGTATTTTCTTAGTTTCCACCTTTAAAAAAATTCTTTTCTTAAAAATATCCAAGGCATATGTTGAGTATGTTGTGCATAGAAGTTTTACATGCCTTTTTTTTAAACCTATAAAGATTTATTATCACTAACCAGTTATTTTATGTTAATTATCTTCACTGTCTTTCTCGCTTTCCGTTTTCCTGCCAGAATGAGAATTGCTAGTTCGCGTGTATTCAGATAAAGAAAGAAATAGTATTTTAAGGACGGTTTTAAATTGTAGAATTACAATGTGATCCACCTGGTGAAGACTAGCTGAATCTTTTGATAGCAATTTATCTGGGCGTTACGTTATTCTCGCCATTAGGCTTGTCACATCGATATTAGGTCTGAGCCATTTTGTGCATATTCTTTGGCTAACTTACGATTTACTTAATAGTTAAGTCAAGTTCCTTATGCCATGGTTCTGCAAGCATGAGCAGTGCTTTCTGTTAATCTACTGATACCCTTTCCAACTCTCTGTTATAAATTCCAAAACATAGCGAGAATTCGCTTCCCTCTTCCAGAGTTCGTATCTAGTTTGCTACCAAAGAGGGTGAGACTCTATAAACCATAGCATTCATAAGCTAAGTAGAATAAAACTGATTTTCTTCAGGCGTTAAGGATTTATGATGTCTAATACTGAACGAATGCTGAGTAATTATAACTAAAGTAATCGTTTAAAGGAAAACTTAAACTGGAAAACAGTATTTTTAATATTACAGAGCATTATTTATGTCACATGAGAGGTTAATACTGCGAAATAAAAACAGGAAATGCCACCTAATTCATCAAAATTGAATATATAGAAAATATATCCCACAGAATTTTATTTTAAAATAAATTCGCATCAAGATACTTAAATGTGGTATTTTCGTAATCCATAATATTTTAACCCATAATGGATTTAAAGTCCATCTTCCAGTAGTTTA